TCGGGTCGTCAACACATCATCCTGCACGTCTGGAGGCACAAGGAGCGTCTCCCACGTCCCAAGAGACCGCGGCATTGCGTTCGATCCCAGCGTCCCTCGAATTCAGACTCCAAGGGCCGCTCTCGTGCCCTGGTGCATCGGCGATGCGTCGGACCCCAGCTGCTCCGGCCCCGTTTGGACGGCCTGAAGTCCCTGGCCCCAGAGCCCCCGACCCCTTTCCCATCTTGCGTTTCGGGAGCGGCCAAAGGGGGTGTCCAAGAGGGGGGGGTGCAAATCATGACCGGCGGCATGTGCGCGGCCCAGCGGGGGGGGGGCCAGGGACGTAATGAAACAAGAAGGGGCGCCATGAGATCTGAGGAAATATCATGGCCCCCGCCATGATATCCACCCGCCCCTAGTCATCACCCCCCTCTTTACCGCCCCCGACCAGAGCCCCCGACCCCTTCCCCATCTTGCGTTGAAGCCTCTTGTGCATGGCCCTCGGGCCGGACAGCGGCCGTCGGAGACTGAAGCGAGCAGAGAAGAAGAGCGGAGAGAGGAGGGGCCAAGAGAGGGGCACGCATAGAGATGAGATTGCTGTGTTTTCGCACCTAGTTCGATCGTGCCGAAGATGGGGGAAACCCGAAGATACCCACACCGCTAGTCCACAGACCTCTCCTGTAGTCGAGGCGCTGTACTCGAGGCGGAGCGCCGGGACTGCAAAAGAACGCCTCGTCGGAGGTCCGGGCTCCCGCGGGCGCCCCGCACCGGCGGACCCGGGCACGCGCGGCGGGAGGGCGGGCGAGGGCCACACACACGCGGCCCACCGCCGCGCGCCCGACGACCCGCGGCGGCCCTGCCAGGAGGGATAGAAGAGCGGCCGCGGGCGGGCAGGAGCGGGCAGTCCTGGCCAACGGGGACGCGCGGCGGGAAAGGCCGAGGGCAACCCGAGGAAGCGCGCCGGCGCGCAGCGTCGACGGCGTCCCGCAGGGCCGTCAGGGGCGGGCGGGCCGCGATCGCGTGGGGGCCCCGTGAAAATCGAGCACGTCCACAGACCCAGGTCTCAGACGAGATGACGTGTTTAATCCTAGCGATTTTCCAAAAGACTTCGGCCTCCCCCGGGGCCCCGTCGCGCTCTCCCCTTCCCCCATTGACGCCCCCGCCCCCTCCTCGGCGGGGCAAAAGGGGGGGGGAACAGGTTGGAGCTGGCCAGCTGTCCTCCCCCGGTCTGGGGAAGAATGGTTTGGTGGGCCCCCGCTCAACCGAGCACCACAAAAAACGAGAACGGTGGCCCGAAAGAAGCAAACACACACACACACACACACACACACACACACGCACACAAATACGATGTGTACATCCTGCGAGGACCGGCAGTAAGACAATCTTGATATTACTACTACTTCTTCTACCACTACTACGATATTACTCGAGTCCCACAATCTTGATATTACTCGAGACGACGATTACTACTACTCCTTCTACCACTACTACTACTACTACTACTACTACTACTACTACTACTACTACTACTACTACTACTGCTACTACTACTACTACTACGACTACTACTACTACTACTACTACTACTACTACTACTACTACTACTACTACTACTACTACTACGACTACTACTACTACTTACTACTACTACTACTACTACTACTACTACTACTACTACTACTACGACTACGACTACTACTACTACTAGTACTACTACTACTACTACTACTACTACTACTACTACTACTACTACTACTACTACCTGTACTACTACTACTACTATTACTACTACTACTACTACTACTACTACTACTACTACTACTACTACTACTACTTCTACTACTACTACTACTACTACTAACGACTACTACTGCGACTGCTCCTACTACTACTACTACTACTACTACTACTACTACTATACTACGACTACTACTACTACTACTACTACTACTACTACTACTACTACTACTACTACTACTACTACTACTACTACTACTACTACTACTACTACTACTACTACTACTACTACTACTACTACTACTACTACTACTACTACTACTACTACTACTACTACTACTACTACTACTACTACTACTACTACTACTACTACTACTACTACTACTACTACTACTACGGACTGCGGGAGCGGCGCCGGCCCTTGTAGGGCGAAGGTTTGTGGCCCCCCGCACGTCGCGGGGAGGGCGCCCTATTGCGGCTGTCCCGACTGGAGCGCCAAACAGGGTTCCCATTGGGAGTCTTTGCGCCTGGGTCAATGCGCGCACTGCGGCAGTTGATTCCATGCTTGCACGTCAACTCGGGGCCCACATGGAAAGCACATGTCGGAATGTGGGGGCATTTGCAACGATCTTGGACTGGGCAGGAACCGCGTTTTGCGAAAGCGAAGCAAAAGCTGTGCTTGGTCTTATCCTTCAACGGCGGGCCAGAGGAATGGCCAGCGGAAGGTCGTCTGTCGCGGGTGTCCCCGCCGCGGGTAGATGATCGTCGTAGCGGTCGTGGCGCGGCACGGCTGCTGGATCCAGCGCGCAGCATCTTGCACCGTTCACCATTCTTGCACCGCCCAGACCTAAACTCTGCACACATCACAGAATCGCGTCGGTTCGATTCGTCCTCGAGGTTGCGCCGAATGCGCCCAAGTCGGTGTAGTTCGAGGTTGGCGAGAACACGTGTTCGAAGCCACTCGTACGTTTTATTTGGGTCGTCGTGAACCATTTTGTTGCAGTCGTGCATGTCCTGCTTCATCAAGGTGTGTTGGCGTCTCTGACACGGAATAGCGATTCGAGGATGCGCGCGTCGGGTGGGTCGCGGAATTCCGACAACAGATTGTCCCAATCCACAATAAACAATTGGAGGTCGTCGTCCCGCATGCGCATCAGTTGTAGACGTTAGGAGTCACGCATGGCGTCGTCGACAGCAGTGACTCTGTAGGATCGTAGCGTCGTCCAATAGATTTGTCCACCCTTCAACATACGACCAGCTTTATGTTCCTGAGCTGTAAGGTTCTTGATGCGATATGGGAGCTCAGCATTGAGGACTGCAACTAGCCCAGCTGCGAGTTTGTTCTCGGTGCTCTCGAAGTCGCCGCTGTCCTGGAGGTCCTCGTAGGTCGCGGTTGGTTGTTCTGCGACGCGCAGGAATGCATAGACCTTGGCAGGGCGCCCAGAAAAGCTACCAAAGCTGTTGCGAGCCATATGTTGCCACTCTTGTAGTTGTGTAACGCGTAGCAGCTGTGACATGCGCGCGGCGCTTGATTCCTCGATTGGAATTGTATTGGGAAGTGAGAAGTGCGACAAAGACTGCGTTGGAACCGGCTGGGTCGGTGAAAGGGGTCGCACAGGGGAAACGTGACGCGAATGCATGGAAACCGCTGCGGAAGCGGCACCTGGCGATGTACGTCGCGTAGGGCCTGAGCGGATGTCACCATCGGCACGTGTAGAGACTCGGTCCTGTCGATGGCCAGGTGGTGGGATTGGATGGTGGATCTGAATATTGCGGGCGTGGGTTGTCAGTGTAGCTTCGTCGGTCGTTATGTCGTGCTGCATTGTGTTAACACTGTTGTACGCCACGCATATCATCGTTAGCGTCGTGGGTTCACTGGGGGTACCTGTCCAGCCGTTGCTCTACATCCTGGGTTTTCCAGTGGTGTACTTCGCGCTCTTGTTCCAAACGTGTGGGTGCGTCCTCTGCCCATGCCTTTTTCGGCGCCTCTTTCATGTGAGATCTGGGTGAATCGCAACTGCGCGTGGTCCGCCGCCATCTGTACCTCGGCCATTCGGGTTTCGACGGGGGCGAAATCGCAAACCGAAGTCGGGGTGCCCAGCTGCGCAGTCTGGGTCCGCACAACACGCAAATCAGCCAGCGATGCCACTATTTCAGGTAACTGCTGCGCGACCGTGGAAACTCGGTTTTCAGGCGTTGGCACACGCCCCTCGGAAGCGTCAAGACGTCGAGCGAGGACCATTTCCGCACCACGCAACTTGCTGTTCAAGTCAGACGTGAATGTGGTATGTTGGGAATGTACTGTGGCACTAGTCATCTGAACCTGGGCACGACATTGTTGATGTGCTCGCGTAGCTGTTGATCCGTGGGTCCACGCACCTCCACAGGCGGGACCCGTCGGACCATCGGGGGCTCATCGTGTAAAGTCCTAATAGCGGCAGTCCCGTTGTCTTTGACGCTCACGAATTGGGCCTCTATCCGCAAGAGCTAGTCGTGTAGCGTCTGAATTGTGCTGGAGTTCGAACCTCGGCGTGACTCCATCTGGCCAACTTGATACTGGACCTGAGCGAAGATCGATATTCAGCGGTCCGAACGTCGACCGACGCAAGAGCTCGTTGAATCTCCTGTCGGAGGGTGGCCGTCTGCGCGGCCAGACCCGACAACTGATGGGTAGTGTAAAGATCAACCTGGTCTCGAAGCTCCGCCATGTCACTAGCGGTGAGAGAGGCACGCGACACCATGTCGCGCGGCGGGGAGCCATGCTGGGAGCGTCTCTGAGAGGGGCTGACGATGGCGCCCCGAATAGGAGAGCGAATGTGATACCGTTCTGGAACCTTTTTGCTGAAATGTCCGTCCAGTACGATTCTCTATGACATGTACATGTTCGGATACAGACACGTTGGTGGGTGATGTGACCTTAGCCAAGCGGCGGTGGCGCGAGGAAGCGCTGTCTGGAGACAAAGCCGCAGCGCCACCACTGCGGGTGTTCCCATCGACACAATGTGTATCAGCGAAGGTTGGAGGAGAGAAGGGAGGTGTGGCGAATCCAGCCGCGACTCCGAAGACAACTGCAAGTATTCCCACCGGTACACAATGCGCTCTAACGGAGGCGAATCCAACCGTGGTTTCGAGGTCCTCGGCGTGTGAGCGCGCGCGGGAGGCGGCGGCAGTGGTGAGTCTGGTAGAAGTTCGCCAGGAGCAGCCGCGAGCGAGGCGGTGCTTCCTTCTCCTGAAAGGGGGGACATGGGTATCACAGATTCTCTCGCCCTCTCCGCAGTGCCGTCGCGACCGCGCGCCGTCGAGGACGCCGCACGCATCGAGGCACTGCGCCCCGAGGGGGGCAGCGCCGTGCGGCGGGGCCCAAGATGACGCGAGTCGCAACGACGAAGAGCGTACAAGAATAGGCTGATAACCTGAGTGTATAGGGATACGACCGATGGGTCGATCCTATACTAGGGTCCGTAGGTAGAAGCACAAGAGGAAGAGGTTACCTACTCCTTTTCTTGGGCGCTGCGCGGAGAGCAGCGCGGTATGAACTTTCCCGAGCTGTGTCCAACCGTGGCGACGAGAAGCTCCAGAGGCGCCAGAAAAAACATGGAGAGTCATGCAGGTGAGGACCCCCCCCCTCCGCCTGATGCTCTTGCTGAAGGCAAGTGTGTCCGCACTGGAACGGCGCATCCTGCCCGGCCGAAGCCGGGCAGCTGGACAAGGCACCCCTCACGCAGCAGGTAATAAGAAAGCGACGTAGGGGGGCGACACGAGGGGAGTGACTGATGCGAGGAGCTTGCAGAGGAGGCAAGGAAGGCGAGGCCGAGCGGAAACCCCACTCACTCGGAGGCCCCAGGGAAGGTGGGGTCCTCCTCGGCGTGGCTCGTGGGCAGGCAGAAACAGATCTTCTCCTTCCCGACGACCCCGATGCATCGCCAACACATCGGCGACGCGGCGAGATCCTCCGATCCCATCTACTCCAGCACCAGTTGTGTGGCCTGGAGCTCCTCCTCCACCTCCTCATACTCCTTCTCCTCCGTCTCCGCCACCACCCCTGGTTCGGGATGTTCGGTGGGATTCAATATCCAGAATTCGTTTCTCATGAAGTCCCGTAAGTAAGTCGCTACCGAGGACCACACATCCCACAGGGGAGGCGCACCTGCCCAGCAGTGCCATCAGTGCTGACCTGGTAACCTGCTGGAATCCTCGCTGCAATCCTGCTCCCCCCCTGGACTGGTGCCTGTGCAATGCTGGTGTCCCCCCATCGGGGGGGGGGCGCAAAAGTGGGGCCGAGGCAGAGGTGTCGTTAGAAGAAAACCGCTCTAAACGGCCCCCGGAAAAGGGAAACGTGAGCATCCAGCTGGGTTCGTTCCCCACTCCCACCTTGGGGATGAACCCCCCTCTGCGAACCCCCGACCCCAGCGGCGACGCGGCGCCTCCAGGTCGTCCCGGCGGCTCTGCTCGAGCCCCCTGTGGGCGTTGATGGAGGCGTAGCGCGCGGTGCCGGTGAGGCTGCGCCGCGGAGGGGGAGGTGCAAGCATGGAGGAGGTGAAGCCGAGTAGGGCGGCGCAAGCTAGGGGGAGGCGGGTAAGCATGGCGGGGAGCTTGGCAGGCGTGGCGGGGAAGGGAAGGGGGGGTTGGGGCAAGGGCGGGGTGGGCGGCAGGACGGGGATCCGAGATCGGGGATTTGGGATCCAGGGTCTAAGCTTTCGAGCGTTGCTGCTCCCTCTTGAGCCCGTGTAGGCCTCCAGCAACCCCTGGAAACTTCTGGAAACAGTTCCAGGGACCCTCGGTGATCTCCCCGAGCTCCTCCACCTCCCCCTGCTGCTGCCTGCAAAGCGAGCGAACGGATTGGCTAAGATCACTAGGGCGCGCAAGTCTCGGCACTGCATCGATCGAGAAGAGCGCTTCATAATGTGCGTGGCGGAGCGGAACCGCGTTGTGCCAAGCTTTTGCTTCAGGCGTGGCTTGAGCAGTGTGCTGTACCCCCTCCCCTCTCGTCTGCATCGGCTCGGTTCTGCTCGATCATGACAACTGGCAGGCTATGTGAATGATGATGGGGATGCTTGGAGTCTCCGAATTTGCAGCCGACTCGTTTCTCGTCTGCTTGCCTGGTTCTGCCGCTTTCAGGACGTCAGGGGGTGACAGTCAAAACATTGAGTTGCACGCTTCAGCCACGCTGCTCTGAGCACTTGCACTGCGCACACCTGCCTTGCAACATTGGCTGCTGCTCCCGGAAGTTCAACATATTCATGTGTACATCAGGCAAGAAGCTCTGAAGAAAATCTCAGACACTGCGAAGTCGGTGGAGGATTTATGGTACGTCAAATACGTGTCATGATTTGTCGCTCCGATTGCTCGGAGCTACCGGGAAGCGCCATCGTCAGCACAACATGTGTTTCTGGCTAATCGAGAGCCTGATGGCGAATGGATTCCCACAGTTGCTCGGGCGCTCGATGAGATGGCTCGCTCCTTCTGCTGAGTAGGCATTGGCAGCCCTTGTGAGCCCTGAACTCTCCGGGCAGACGAGTCGGGACAACATAGAGACCTGGATACGGTTCAGCGTTCCATCAAGAATGTCCCGTTCTGCGGGCGTGTGCGGCCCCTCGTGCCAGGGCCTTTTTCGTCCTTGTTTTCAAAATCGCGATGCTAGTCTCAAACAGGGATCGACCTAAACAATGTTTCTCGCTTTCGCTTTGCTGTCGTTTTCCCTCGTTCTGTCTTCAGTCCGCCTTTGCTGCAAAACTAAATCGAAACGAAAACGACCCACGAAATCGCCAAAACACCGTTTAG